TCTTCCAAAATTCAGTTGATTCAAGATTCCTGCATTTTGCAAAATGGTTCGGTTGCTGTATATGGTCTTCATTTAGAATGTAACACAAACATCTATCTACGGTATGTCAGATTAATGCTTGGTAATGGCCACAATCTGGGAAAGATATTATATGAACACATCATTGTGAAGAGATCTAGCTGAGTTTTAAGCATGGAGGTTTTCCTACATAACATGAAAAGCATTTTAGGCCTGATGGAGATCTGATACGGATGCTACTGAACCTTGACAACTTTGTTAGGATTCTTAGTCTCTGCTTTCATTTTTAGACATTCTTATGTTGAAATCCAAAATGTTTCTACTTGGAAATACTAGTCTGAGTGTACTCTACTATCCAGCTGTACATGCAGAATGGTTACACATTAGCAACGTGCTACACTAATTACTTACCTAGCAGTTATTTGCACAAGTTGAATATGAAGGTTGCAACTTGTAGTTGCATTATACTGAATGCAATTTGTTTCATAATGTGGAATGTGACAATCTGGATATAATTTGTAAGTTTCTTCTATTTAAGAAGTTAGTGATGGCCCTTGTTTTGTGTCCAATATAATAATCCTCTGGGATTTTTAATTTCAGAATGTAAACTCATTTTTTAAATCTTTATAATCATTTTATTCCTTCCCTTTAGAATGTGACTGGAAATTATTCTTATTAATTTATATATTAGCTTTTATGCTTAACATTTTCATTATCAGTGCATTAATATTGTGGACTTATGTTACACCAACATTTGACCTAGAATGCCTTTATTTTCTCCATAGCTTTATCTTAAATTGTATGCCACATATTAAATCTATAGGCTGTTCTGCAGAATGTTCACTATACAGGCAAGTACATATCCTAAGTAAAATATTTATGACGGTGTCATACTTAATCTTAGTGAAATCTCTATCTTTATTAAATATAAATAGATTGAATAAACCAAGAGCTATTATTGACTTGCTGATTCACAATTGTTTGTTTATTCATTTGGTAACTCTTTCTCATCTTTGCTATATATTCCTGCATTGACTGGAAGGACAGACCTAACAGCCTACATGGCTCCTATAGTTTTTTGAGAATCAGTAATAGCGGGGGGGGGGGGGGGGGGGGGGGGGGGGG